GATTACACATTCATGTAACGTTCACAAGGCTGTTGGGTTCGTTCGCTCTAGCTCGCTGCTGCTGATGATAATTATTGTTTGAAATTGGTAGTTGTTTAGTTGTTTTGTCATAGGTATAATAGTGTTGTTTTCGCTGCTGACTTTAATTGGCATTTAGTAGTTGAGCGCATGGATCTTCCGTTTCAATCCTTTTTGCCCCGTGCGTTCGGTTACGTTTCGTGGAATTTATTCCTTTTGTGTAAAATTTACAATGCAATTATATTTATGGGCGCTGTACGGATTTGTGTTTAATTTATAACTGAATAATTATGTTTGTGGCATTTGGGCGCGAGCAAGACAGAAGAAGGAAATTGCCACAGAGAGAGAGAGCGAGAGTTGTGGAGTGAAGAACAATCTTCACGTGCTCACACTATCCAATGTGATTACATACTCACATTCACTCACACATATGAAAACTATTATTATTACGGTTTTCTTTTTTCCTGGGATTCTTTTTTTTTGCGAAACGCATAAAGCACACTGGCCAGACTGGGCATTTTGTCTTTTGCGAAATTACGATCGCCAATCGCAGCAGCAGCAACAGCAGCAACAAATCGTACATGTGTCCAGTGGTGATTTTATGTGCATATTAGATTGAAAATTACATTCGAATGCAATAATGCTTTCTATCCTTAGGTGAAGTGTGTCTGTGTTGTTATTCCCGTTGCCGTTCGTTCGTTTTGCACACGCGTTTCTTTTTTTCCTTCTCTCCTATTCCATTTTCTTTTTGCAGCAAACGTGCTTGTGCAGTGTGGCGAACGGTGTTGCTATTGCCGCTGCTGTTGCCGTGCTTTTTTCTCGTTCAATTTATGTGCACAGTCATAAAACTACAAGAAACGTAGATAAATTGTTCATGGTTTCACGGACGTTTTCAGAAATTGGGTGGTAGAAGATGCATTCCGGTTTTGCGGTTTTATGTCACTGACTGGCTGGCTGCTCATATTTGTGAAATGCTCATTTCGTCTAATGCATTTTTGCCGTTCTCGAGTCCGAATATCGAGAGCACTTTGTTGACTTCTGATTGAAATATTTACAGTTTTTCATGGCATACCGTTCGATGCTGCGTTTTTTTTCTCGCTTCGCTATTCTCCTCCGTTTTGTTTGCTTGCACAAAAAATATAGCATTCGACTTCGCTATCTAGATTCTGTGTGCTGTACACAACATATGAAAATGTCACTGTCGCCTCGCCATTGCCATGAAATAAGAATGCAATTCGTTTCTATCGCTTGTGGGCCAAATCGGGAAAGAGAGAGAGAGAGAGAGAGAGAACCCAAACGCGCGCTCCATTCCATCTTAAATCGCAACGCACAGCTCATAACATATGCAGTTAATTATCTGTCTTGACCGAAACGAAACGAATGATTTATTTTTTTTTCGTTCTTATTGCAACATATTGCGCAAACTTTCATGTGATCTTCGTTCGTTTCTTTCTTTTCTGTCGTGGTTGAAATTTACGCTATTTCAAAGAAATCCACCTTAGGATATGCGTGAGTGTGTGTGTGTGTGTGTTTGTGCCACAAGAGAAACACTTTTGACATAAATGCGCACAAAAACAAAAGAAATGCAGAGAAAAATATTGAATTATATTGCCGAGTTTATTCGAATTTTATGAACACTAAAATGATGTTACGGCCAGCGTTTCTTTAGTACTGTTCGCACTATACTATGAATCATCTCTCGGCATCATGATACATGACTAATAGTCAATTTCTGTTTTATTAATTACCCGACCGGACATTCTTGCGAAGAAAAGAACAACACACTCGATTTTTTTTAAATGATTTGCTGAGTGTCATAAATGATATTAGTTGATTCTAATTGGAGACAATTATAATTGGCTGATTTTTGTCATGCAAATGATGGAATGTCAATAAATGGATCTTTATCATTATTCTTCGTTTTCTTTTGTTTATCTAAGTTTAATGAAAACAGCACGAGAGAGAGAGAGAGAGAGAGAAACAGAATGAGTGAGAAAAAAAATGGAACTAACGAATTGAATAAACAGACGAAGAAAGCCGTCAATTTAAACTTAAATATCTCGATTGAATTCCATTTAAGTTTATTTCCTTTTTCTTCGATTTTTATTGCAATTTTATGTTTGTCTTTTTGATTACCGCTTCAAAAACTAACTGCTTTTACGACACATAGTCGCGCTCTGCTTGCTACGACTCGCACACATATGCCACAGTCTTTAAAACGAATGTAAAAAATGATGGTTTTTTTTTCTCGAAAAATTGTGCATCATCAAACAAAAAACGTGAGCATTTGATTGCGTCGTGGAGAGTGTTTTCGATCGTGGAAAACTCGACATGATGATTTGATTTGTTGGAATGTTAATTTCCACCGAAAATGCAGCCAAATAACGAGAAAAAAAAACCAACACTGAATTCAAAGTAGAAAAATGATTTTATGCGTGAAATATATTTGCCTGGCTGTCACGCCGCGCGACACTCTGACGGTGTGTATGTGTGCTCCCCGTTTTTGATTCATGCATGTTCTACATCGATGAAATGTGATGCAGTGTCGTGAGCGACTCACTACTATCACAACTTTTCTTTTCCTCACCGCAGACCATGCGCTGATTATTATTACATTGGAAAAATTAATATTAATAAAAGAAAAACGAAGAGAACCGAAAGCCACATTCACACTCACACAAAGAAAGCGAGCCAAAGACGAACAGCGAACGACAAGTAACTAACAAACATTCAAGTCGTACATTTGAATATTTTGCATACTAATTAACATCTTTGTGGCGCTCTTTAATATTTTTTATGTTCTTCGTCAACTTGACTTGACTTACAAGTACTATGCTTGCTTTAATCTCCGACTTCAGTCGCCGTCACCGTTCACGTTTTTTTTTCTTCATCTCTGCGGTTGTACGGTTGCCGCTGCTTCTTCTTTTGTTCCAACTTCATCATCGTTTTATTTCATTTGGTTTTTTTTTCTCTGAGTGAGTGTGTGTGTGTTGTTCTTACAAACATTATTGTCATCATAATTTGTCTCTGTGGCGTTTTTTCTTATTCTTCCTTCATCATAAATTCTTAGATGATTTCTTCCTTTTTTCTGTTGTTGCGACTACGGCGGCGGCTGCTGCATTCTCATGTGTTTCATTTGGTTTGCCAAGTTGGGAATTGCGCGCACATTCATCTCGATTTGCTATTTTCATTTGTAATATTCGTGATTTTCCACTCTTTCTCTCTCTGCGAGCGTGCTAAACGCATACACTAATAAAATGCGGCTAGATGGTCATGCTGCTGCTGCTGCTGCTGCTGCTGCTTTGCCACACTATTGTTTGCCAACACTACTGGCTATATTCAAATACTTTCGCTGCTAGATATCTGTAGATTTGACTAAATGCATATTATTTCGTCATTTCTTCTTTATGTGCATATACATAGATTTGTTTCTTCATTTCTATTTGCGTTGGGGTTTTCTCTCTCTCTCTCTCTGGCTCTATGTGTGCTTCCTCTTGTTTCTCTTCGTCATCATTTCGTGCGCTCATTTTTGTCATACAAGAGGTATTTATAGCGAGTACACTTGAATGCGTATGCAAAGCCTCTGTTTTATTCTTTGCTGTCGCGAGTTATAATCATCGGTGTTGTTTTTTTTTCTTCCTCTCATTTCGATGCTGCCTTTCTTCTTTCGTTACCCGTTTCAAGCACTAAATTCGTGGGTATTTATTTCGTTCCGTTGAAACTGAAAGCAAAAACATCACACAGAATCAAAAGCAGGACAAGAAACAGCGCGCAAACACACAAATGTTGAAGACACGAAGCAGGGCAGAAAAAAAAACGTGGCGAAAAAGAACCAGAACACCGGGAAATAGAAATAAAATGTAAAATGTATTTTGAATGGGAAATTGTGCGCTCTCGCGCTCCGCGCGCTTATGGAGAATCCGGAACAAAAGAGAGGAGCAAAAAAAATGAAGCGATTAATGTTGGAAATGTTACCATACAATAGTTGCATTTATTTTCAAGTGGATGTATATAACATGGATATATTTTTGCTTCCTATTTTTCACTGGGAGCATTTTTGTTGCTGTTGTTGTTGAAGAAATCGCTTTTTAGTTTCCCTTTGTTTTCCAATTCGCTCGAGAGAGCGCGCAGAAATGAGAGTGAAGGGTAGAAAAAACCACCGTGCGTCCAAATGAAAGTATGCCGTTGAAACGGGGAAATAATGGTGAAATGAATTCGAGCCAGTGATAAAGGCACAAAAGCTTGCTTTCCACGTCAGAATGAGTGGAAGGGTACTTATGCACTTGATTTTCAACGCAATTAGTAGTTTTTTTTCTTCTGTGCCGCACTATATGCAGCTCTTCAGCTTTCGATGCATCGCCAACACACACAGAGAGTGAGATAGAAAGCACGGGAAAAAAAACACTAAACGATTATTCGATTGCATTTCATTTCGTTTCCGATTTCATTTTTCTCTTTATTTCTCTCATCCATTCTGTCCGATGATGATATTTCCGCACTATGATTACGACTACTGCTTCAGATTCGCTCCAGACAGACAACAACATTTTTTTAACAAAAATGTTCTTCTTCTGTTCGAGCGCACCGCACATGCGCCCGCGCGCACGTTCCAAACAATGGACGAAACTTTACTTTTCAATTACATTCGTCAAAGAATTGCGGCCATTGATTCAGAAATGGAATCAGTGAAACAGAGTGAAAATAATAATGGAAAAACGAAGCGAATTATCTGTCGCATTGCACACTGTTTACCTTTGCAGCATTCCCTTTCCCCCCTCTCTCGCTCTCTCACTCAATTTCGCAACGAAGCGCAAAGTGGAAACTAATACGCGTTCATAAATCCCCATAAATCAAATCATAAATCGCCGCTTAATTAATTGTTTTATTTGTTTTTATTGTGTGCACATGCACATGCACACACACACACACACACACACACACCACACGTACGTACGTTCATTAATTTCTGTGTTTCGTTTCAGGTTCAGATTGGCCGTTATACATTGGATTGGCGGTGGTGGGTGCAATTTGTGTTGCATTAGGCGCCGGTTTGGCACGTGGTGCACGGAAAGGAAGACGCTTGCCGCCATACAGTATCGCACGTACAGGTAAAAAACAACACTCAATTATTATGTACACATATTTAAATGCCGTTCGTTTTCGATATATATATATATACATATATATATACTTGGCGCAGCGCGCCACATCGATTTTGACAACAGCCAAAAAATAATGAAAGAAAAAAAATGAACAAACACTACAAAGCTCAACGAGCGCCCACAAATAAAATTCGGAACATTCACATACTTTGATTCCCTTTGATATGACGGCGATTTTTTTTCTTCATTTCATTCATTCGTTAGTTCGTCGACAGTTCCATAAGCATTAACGAGACATATCAAAATGAACACACGCATCAGTCACCCAAGTCGCACGCATCGGTCTTGGTGACGAATCGCCTCGGAAATGCTATTAGCAATAATGACATTGATTTTCAACTTCACCAGTCACACATTCACACACGCAACGCTATCGTCGTCATCGTCGTCATTGAGTTTGTTGCGTGGTTTGGACTCACGTCGTGTTACAGACGATTGCATTGACTTTGAAATGGTTTGCATTTGACTCGTACTATGCACGAAACTTATTTATATGCATAAAGAACAGTCAATGTTCCTCATTAAAACAAAGAACACAGAGACGAAATATATAATCAACGATGAAAAAAAGAGTGAAACGATATTTGCCACGGATAATGAGATTCGTAAACAAAAAGTTTAACAAAATGGGAATAGCCAACTTCTGTTACTTTCGCCCAAAAGATAGAAAGAGAGCAGGAAGCAGCCGCAGCAGCAGCAGCACCAGCATCAGATGCTACTCTTTGATGGGCGTAAGATAATTGCATATGCGGCGACATTGGTGTGAGAATATTGCTATCCAAGACCATTGAACCGAATCGAATCGGCTCCGGGAACATTTTGTGAACAACAAAATGATTCTACATTGTTCTTCATTTCACCACATCACTTTCACAATGGAAATGTATCGAGCGTGAGAGAGGGAGAGAGAGAGAGAGAGAGAGAGAGGCAAAACGGGGAAAAAAGTTGGCTGAGATTTGGTTGTTTCACGTCATGAATAACATGATCAGCGATAGCAATAAATAAGCGCCATAATCTTCCGTATCGTTTTTACATTTGCCTTCAAAAATAAAAACCAACGCAGCGAAAAGACAGAAGAAAAAAGCGACGCAGCATTGAAAATAAAAGAAATTATAATATTCTACAAACCGAATGTGAGGAGAAAAACATTAAAGTGTCTTGAAGACATAAATTAAAACAAAAGCAAATGATGACTACGACGACGATGAAGAAAAAAGCGTCTTCGTTTTTCCCCGGTCGAAAATCAAGTAATTGAAATGAGAGAAACGAAAACAAAAAGATCACAAACCATTTGTTGTGCGAGTATGTTTTTCAAGTGTAAAACAACAACAGCGAAATGTAAAAGAAGAGCAAAAGTCATTCGCTGGCGCACATTTGTGTATGCCTCTGCCGACTTTTACGATTGTTGTGCATGCATTTAAAGGGAAAGCGAACAAATTACAACAGCCACGCAGAAAAAAATAAAATTGTAGTTAAATTGAGGATGAGGAAGACGAAAATGAAACTGAAACCGAAACCCAAGATGCTGAGCGCAAAAAGGAAGAGAATGCGTGTGTGCGCGCGCGCGCGACACACACATCGATATGGAGCAACCAAAACAAATTTCGTATTAAGTACCGTATCGTGAGCATTAAATATTAAAAATAAACACAGCCGCAATAATAACCGAAACACTTGTTCTCTCTCTCTCTCTTTTTCTTTCGGTGCTCTTCGTTGCCTTCTGATTCAATTGGATCCACATCGAATGTTGTAGCATTTTCATGGTTAGCGTGTCGCTTCTATTAACCGTCGTCATGATAATTTTGTGTGTGTTTTTGCTGAATGCCGCCACATGAGAATGCTGTATTCAATGTACCGTTCCGTTTCCATAGCTATTCCTGAAGACCGACGCGCAAAACATTCTCATGCATTCGCATTTCTTTCGGAAACCCCAGAAAATCGCATACGAAACGGATGATACACACAAAGAAAAGAACGAAAAAGAGGCTAATAAAAGAAGCAGCGTTGTATAACAAAGAAAGTAATACACTCTGCCGAGCACATACAACATCAAATGCGTACCAGCCACACTGAAACACTGGATTGTCATAGTCACTTCACATATAAATTAAGTGCACTTTAGAAGAAAATTTATGTTTGAAATTATTTTTCTATATTTCGTTGCACGTTATTCCTTATTCGCTCATGGATTTACTCTTATTTCCGATATGATGACTGTGTGTGTGTGTGCTCCTGTTTGTATGGATTTTCATGTGCTCAGCTATCTGTCTTCGCATTGAACTGTTGCGACACACTCACAGAGCGTGTAGTGTTTTTCTTTTCACTCAAAATGAAAATAAACATGAATGTCGACGATTTTTTTCTTCTTCTCGGACTCTTCGTCTCATTCCGTGAGTGTCGTGTTGGTGCGTGTTTTTTCTTGCCTTTGAAGCCATAAGAAGAAATAGAAGAGGTTTGTATGTGTTTGCCACCATCATCATCATCACGATCAGCGTCGTCTTTCGAATAAGATACATTTTTTCGGTATGTCAAGAGCATCTTGATGCTTACCATTCTCTTGGCAACGCACGCTTTCATCAAAGGATTCAATTATTGCGCATTAAATCATTTTGTTTACTCGACGAGCACGCGTCGTTTGTAACAACATCAACGTCATACACTTATGATAAATAAATAGATAATCGAAAAGTACCGGAACACGCGGCTCTCTAATAAAGAGACGACGAGCAAAACAAAAATTTTATTTGAATTATTTTAGTCGCTTAGCATTTTTTTTCTTCTCCTCTTCATCATTCTATAACCATTTTTGTCGAAGAGCAAAAGCTAAACAGAGAGAGAGAGAGATACACGATGAAGAAGAGAGCGAAAAAAACGGAATATGCGCTCGTTCACTGGACGAAATGAAAATATTTGCTTCTACAAATATTTATTTGATTGATTGGGCAGTGGGTCAAGTGTACAAATACTAGACCCGAAATAAATTGGTTTTCGCATTTTCCCTCTGAACCGCTTCAAACGAAATGAAACGAAATAAAGTCAACATTACAATTATTACTTAGCGTCGATTGCGTTGTACACATTTCTCCCACCCGTTTGCTCGCTCGCTCGCCCGCTCTCTCTCAATTCTCATTTGTTGAAAGGAAAATTTAATATTTTCGAATACTTTTCCCATTCGATTTTTTTTTCTGCTTCTCGGTTCGTTCGTCTGTTTTTTTAACATGCTGTGTTCACTCGAAATGAAGCAACATTCCGCGGAAATTAGAGTCAGTTCAAAAAGTTTACCAATGACTTAAAAGAGATTCTTTGGCTTACCGATTCCCAAATATTTCGAATTCCAATCGGGACAAGAAAGTCGCTTGTATTTTGGTGCAGACTTGATTTTTCCGTATTTCATTTCATCGCTTCATCATTTCATCCCTTGCTCTTGGGTTCGCGCCCGCAACTAAACTTGTCTCATATCGATTCACCGCCATTCAATCCAAAATGACTTGACTTTTTTTCCTCAACTTTCGCAGCATAACTGGCGATTGAACAAGAGAGTTTCATCGTTTTACTCATTCTCTTTGCGGTTGACGTACTTACTGACTGACTTCATCGCTTTTGTTTTGCTTTAGCAAAAAAGAAATAATCAATTTCCCTGGAAGGAAAAATTCTTTTCCAATTTCTTGTCTCAATAGTGGTTTCGGCAGTAGCAGCAGTACCATTCAGACAATGCGTCTGGTGCGCGCACCAATTTTTTTCGGTTGATTCTTTCGTTTTCGCGTTGTCGGTTTTTCGATTCTCTCTAGTCTTCTTGGTTGGTCTTGAATATTACTTCCGAACTCCGAAATTGGCCAAAGAACAACATACATGCAATATATAATTGAAGGAAGGAAATGTCATTCTACTCACTGAACATTGAGCACTACGCGAAAGAGACGTCGACAAATCGCCATCGACACAATGAATCGTTTGTGTTCGCTTTTTTTTCTTTCTTTTTGCTCTGCTTTACTTTTTTTTCTCTGACTTTCGGTTCAACTATGGCAATAATTTTAATAGCCTGCCTTTCAAAATGAATTTTTATTTGTTTATACCAACTACTTGATTTTCATTTATTCGTATCGTTTTTTTTTCATACATCCCACTCCTACTCCGTCTCTTTTTGCTCTCAATCCATTGTGCCATTGACTGGTTCGCTTTTGTGTGTGTGCACGCTGGTTTTTTTCGGTTGTGAAGTCGAGTTATCGAAATGACATTAATGGTTTTTATTGTGAATTTGCCATAGCCGATGCCGAGACGGCCAATTTCAATGTGCCAAAAGTAGCTGGCGCTTGTTCATTATTTTTATTTACTCTCACTGTTTGTATGTGTGTGTGTTTTTTTGTGTGTCTGCGTTCGAGTATCGCAATGCAGAAAATTAAAAAGCTGGAAATTATTTGACGTCAAACTAATTTAATGACAGATTATGGTCATTGGTCACACACGATTCGGTATTTTGTAAACGAAAAACTCGTGCATCGCACTCGAACCAATTGAGCCGCAACGAACAATCTGCTGCTGCCGCTGCACTGCGCTCGGGTGATAAATGATTGTTAATAAATCAACAAACGAATGAACACAAATAAAACAGAAAATCCAACGACAAATTGAGTTTGCGACGTCTTCATTTTTTTATATTATGGCTGTTGCCGCTGTTGTTGTTGTTGTTGGTGTAGTGTGTTTGTGTGTGTTTTTTTCAACAACTTTAATACCAAAGTGGACAAATACCTACATAAAAGCAATCACCATACAGGCGGAACGAAATATATAGTAATCATTAATAACGCAATAACGACACTAAAGTGTTTTTCGTTTTCGTCTTAATTTGACAAATAAGTTGAAATCTTTGTTTTGCTCGCAAAAAAAACAAAATACGAGCATGGAATGGCAAAAAAAGGAGCGACAACAGTAAGCTCTCACACTCCGAG